CTTTCCCTGTGTTTTCTGTGGATAGTGAGATTAAAAAAGGAAGTCAGTTTTGCCATGCTAAAACTAAAAATATCGATAGGCTGAATTAATCTGTAGCAAATGTTTGAGTTGCATTCAAAATGAGGAGTGGAAATAGACTTGATTTCATGGCAAGTTAGTTGCCGCTTAAAATAAAACATGACTGAGTTATCTGCTAAATATATTACAAGGACTGAAGAATGTTCTTTTGCTATTTTCCTGTTCAAATGTGTATCTAACAGTTTGTAGTAGATGTTATGTTAATAAATAGTGTGAAAATGCAAAAGCCCTCAGTACGGCATTTCCACTTCTCTGAAGTCCTTGAATGGAGAAGAGGGAAAGGCAAAACATCTCTCTGGGTTTCCCTCCCCTATATTTTTCTTTTTAAAATAAAGTCATAATGTGGTCCCTTTCTTTTAAAATGTAAGCACGAGTTGGTGTCATGCTCCCTCTCTCGATCAAAGCAGGTGCTCAACCCAGAGCCTCTTGTATTCTGAATATTTCTTTGCCTCTTCAACTTTATTCCTTGGGCAATAAAGGAAAACAAGGCAGTCTCCCTTCACTCCTCTGCAACAAATTCAGGCTACTTCAGTCTCTCATCTCTGTGGATCCAGAGCCCAAAAGGTATTTTAAAATACTAAAACAGTGGAGTGCTGAGCAACACAGGTCATCGGGAGTATTTTATTTCAGTGTTTTGGTCTCTGCTCTTGCACTGCACTGACTGCAAAATCAACTGCAGTAATGTGCAGCCAGTGGTTCTCAGGAGCTGGATCAAAGCTGTAGAACTTGCATCTTTAAAATGCCCTCCAGGCCTTGCTGGTTGGAGTAGAAAATGAAAAACTGCTTTTCTGCACATAGCTCACAGCTTTAAGTGTAGGCAGACCAATTAATTCTATTAGTATGGCAAATAATTGATTTCTGTTAAAACACAAACCTCCTGATAAAATTCCAGTAGACGTTGTACCAGCAAATCTTAAGTAAGAAAAGCTCTTAAAAGACCAGAAAGGTCATGAGACCCATGTATCTCATGGTATAATTACCAGTAGCACTTGCAGGACTTCTCTATGCCAAGAGCATTGCAAGCACTTCATAATCTGGAGTTACTTTATCTGAAGGTTAAATCTGTTCAAGATGGTCCTTATGTACTCCCAACTGTACAAAAATCATCTTTGCTGATCAGTAACTGTGCTTTTTTTTCCCATTTACAATACAGACCTATAGTCAGGAAAGGTAACACTGAGTCTGAGTGAGAAAACAAATAGAAAAATGATATGTACTGTAGTAAGGATACGTTTTCATGGATCCCTTTTTTTTATACTCCAGCTTAAGAGTTGACTGCTTATGAGACATTTGTTATTTCTTGATTTCCGTTTTTTCCCAATAGTGAATAAGGTAGTAAGTGGGGGAAAAAAAGGTTTTGTTGTATTTGATTGGATTCAGTGATATTGAAATATTGCTGTATTGATACTGCGTGGCTTTCCAGCATCACCCCCAAGAACTGGAAATAACTTTTGTCGGGGAAAGGGATTCTTAGGGTGGTGTTTGACCGAGGTTAATTACAACTCTCATTAATTTTCAGAAAATTGATGCCCAGGCCATTGAAGAATTCTATGGGTTAACCTCAGACATTTCCAAAAACTCAGAATCTGGATATATCCTCTTCTACCAGTCAAGAGACTAAGAGAAAAGAGACGTGTGTACAAATAAAAGAGAAAAGGGATCAAGATATGTCCAAGTGGAACATATTTGTGCCAGCAGAAGCAGCTCCTCGGTGCTGGAGGACCAGGACAGACCCAGTGGGGTGAATAAAGGTTTCTCCCTGCCCTTTTGTGGAGGATTAGTGCTGACTGCCGGAACAAGAAGAGCTTTTGTTCCAGTTTTCTTTCTGGGCTTTTTTTACGTGCTATCTTCCAAAATCTGTGTTACCTCTACTTGAAACCTGGCTGCTTATTTGGTCATGAACTGAAGAAGAGATTGAAAAGTAGCATTGTAGAATTTTTACCATTTAATGTTGGCCTGAGGCTATACCTTGGTTTCTACCATCATCGTTTTTCTGTATTTTAGCAGAATGATTTCAATATTCAGTGTCAGCTGAAGGCATATTTTAGGATATGAACAGCAGCTGGTTGCTGGATATTTTTGGTGACTCAGACTTGAGAAGCAGTACAAAGCTAAGACATATTGGAAATGTCAAGTCTGTAATTTTTATAAAAAAAACAGTCAAAAAACTCTGTCTGCAGCATTGTGAATTCCCCTATTATGCATTATCTTGGTTTTAGACAACACTAACAGCAACTGCTTCTTTTTTATATTTTTATTTTTACTGTTCTGTTTCTTCTTGAGAAGGTATAGAACGTTATCCGTATTCAGCCCAGTCTGTTGTGCATTTTTCTTTTCAAGCAGAAGTTTTGACTCGGAGCCGCATTGCTGCAGATTTCAGGGGAGCAGCAGAGCAGTTACCTTTTGGAGAATCTGTCTGGCAACCAGTTGCTGTAGAAATTTGGAAGCTGCAGCGTTTTTTGGAGCTATTACATAAACCAAAAGTGCCCTCATTCTGAAACGGGATCTGTTCAACATTTCACTCAACACACAGTAAACTGATGCAACTCGCGTTTTGAATCTATGCTAATACACAGAAACAGCACTAATTGGGAAGGGTTAATTAACCAAGGGAAGCATTATTTATGGAACTAATCCAGTTGTTCTTAGTCTTCAAGATAATGAACAAGTAAGAAGGAAAACCAACCAACCCACCCAGACATTACCTTGCTAAGTGTTCCTTGCCATCTGCCGGTAATGTTTGTAGCAATCTGGGAATCGTAACACCCTCCTAAAAATGCTTGTCTTACCTCTATAGGCCTTGCTTAACAGGGGAAATTGTTAGTCTTTTGAAGACTGAAATTAAGTAATTATCCGTTACGTGTGCATATGTTATAATCTCAAGGATAACTAGAAAGAAAAGACTAAGGAAATTTGTAAGGAATCGCAGGAAATCTTCGGTAATGTTCTTTTTTGGAAAGTCCTGTTGCCGTGCCAAAGCTTGTCACAGCTGGCTCTAAAGTACCAGTGGAAATGAGTGTTTTCCTCTCTTCATCTCGTTAGGTGACACAAGAGCTGTCCTCCGTGTGGTTGTCCCCACCGCAGCCGTTCATGGTATGTACCAGTGCTTGTTCTTCTTGAGGACATTTCACTTATGCAATTCTGTGGCTTGGGCAGGATATAAAGTATTTTACCAAAATATTGTCCTCGGGAAGACAGCGTTTCACAAACAGTTTCTTGTGGTGGCTGTATGTATTTGTTTCCTCTTACCATGACCAGAACCGTAATGTTAGCAATTACCTTCTGTCTTCAGAATGCAAATGAATCATTACCAGTGTATTTCCAGTTGGGTACAGGTTCCATTCTTCCGGCACATCTCCTCTTCCAGAAGATAACATATGGACGTTGGGTTTTTTAATTATTTTTTATTATACAGAGTACTGTTGTTTTAAGAGACACAGTCAATAACAGCAAACATTCTTGTCATCTTGTTCCTATTGTGTGAAAATTGTTCCTGGCTGAGAGTCTTCTCCCCCTGTTCACACACAAGCTGTGAGTCCTCTCCTGGTGGCGCTACCAGAAGCCTGTCATCACCAAGTCTTGCAAAAAAATAACAAAAAAGAGAGCACTGAGTTAAAAATAATCTAAACAGTAAATACAAGAATTAATGTAGTACACTAGACATGTATTTTGTATATCTGGTGATACATTTTTACGAATAAAATACCTGACAGAGAAAATATTGAAAGATATATACTATAGATTAAAACCTGTTAAAGTGCACTTTTGCTACAGATTTATAAGGAGACTAAAAGGAATTAAATTGGAAAAGAATGGTGTGATGTTACTTCTGTATAATAAATGACCCCACCTGTCTCCAATAAAGGTCATGTATGATCAAAGGCGCATGGCCCAAATGCTTTTCCTTGGATCCAAGGCAGAAATAAGAAATTGTTGAGGCGCTTGCTCTCCTTCGCTTCTCCCTCTGTGCTGGCAGGCGGGGGGATTCTGACCGCTGTATTTGCACGTGTATAATCTGTGCGTGAGCGGTTTAAACCAAGAGAAATGAATAATTTTGTGACATACGTGCTAATTGATGGGCTGGTAAACCAAGGAGAGGTTATCTAGGGCCTTTTTCCCCAACACCAATCCCAATGCTGGTATTCCTTAATCTCTTAACCCTCCACTGTAGCTCTGCCGTTGTCTTTCCCTCTAATTTCCTTTTCCCTTCGCCCTCTTTCACCTCTTGCTGTCGGACTCCGTAAGACTTTGTTGCAAACATTATCTGACTGATCTGGAACAGAGACATTTAAAAGCAAAAATAGTACCATATGCTTGGAGCTCTTCAGGTTCATTGCGGGACAGGGCTTCAGTTCTGTGTCATTCACCAGAGTTCACTTTTGTATGGGGAAAATATGATCAGAGGCTGCTCTCATGAGTAGGAATTCATGGGACCAAGTCAGAACAGAAGCAAATGGGGTTTAAAAATGAAAACTGCTCTGTAAAAACAAATTTTTAATCCAAATTACTGTCTGGTCCTTATCCTGCTGGGTCACACTTTAGCAATAAATTTGCTAATATCAATAGCTAATTTTAACTATAGCGAGCATGAGTTTGACTTGCAGTCACTGTAGAAAGAGCATTACCCGGAATTATTTTTGTCCAACCAAAATCAGATCATCTGAAAGCAATGGGGCTTTAGTTTTGAATACCAGTAAGGCAGGATTGATACTGGGATTTGGTTCTTCAGATCCGCACAACCTAGCACTGGAGTGAGGGTGAAGACCATCCCACCATTATTATTTCTCTCTGCTAACCTGTGTTGCTATTTCATTTCCAGTTTGTTTGTAGAGATGCTCTGCCCTAAAGACTTAGGAAACTGAGGTTGTTTGTTAACTGGTGTTTGTGCTTGGCATGTTCTGGTTCCCAGCAGGAGCATTTAAAGTCACCATGCCAGCTCTATTTAGGAGATGTTTAAAACGAATCATAGTTGATTGGTACAAGAAAGAAAATAGACTAACAAAGGCCCCTGAGGCAAGTAAAACCTTCCCATTGTAGTCCTGGGCATTTGTCAAAAGGAAACAATCCCCTGAAACATAATTAGTTCTCAACATGTAAAGTCCTGCTAGCATTTGCTGCTGTTGCACTAATTAACCTTGGGGCTACTTCTGTCTGCTTCTCTCCCACTCCCACAGAAGCCATCCTTGCTGCAGGATTTGCTTCCACCTACCCAAGCCAGCCTTTGTTTGGCTCCCGAAAGCAGCAGCCAAGTGGGATTGATGTCTGTAAGTGATAATTCAAAGTGCGTAAGGTTAAAAATGAAGCTGTTTTGGGGGGAGAGCGTGAGGGTCATCCTGGCCTTTTCTTCTGAAGGCAGTGCCTTCAATGATTTGAAAATGGTTTGATCCTTTCTACCATCTGGCTGCTCATTTTAACTCGCTCGCCCGTGTATCAGTGTTTGGGGCAGCTTCTGTTGTGTCCGAGTGGCCCCAGGGGAGGATGTGAGTGTGCAGCAGAGTCCATAGCAGCATCAGACCTGGTGGTGGGGGCTGCAGAGCATTGTAGGTCCCTGGGATTTCGAGCTCCTGCCTCCTTGGTCAGAATCTTACTTGTAGGAACCTGTTGTAGTTTGTGCGATGTGGCCACATTGTGCCTGGCAGGGGAGAGGAAGCCCTGAGAGGGAAGGAGAAGTTATGTAGTGATGTTTGGGTTGCTAACAGTGAGTGTTTAGCAGTTACCGGTTGTTTTAAAAGCTCCTTAATACAAATAACAGACACAAATACAAACCCCTGCAGTGGTTATCGGTACTTAACTGTTCTCACTCAGAAACTCAGAAACTACTATCTGCTGGATTTTTGTCCAGAAACTACATTAAGATAATGAAAATCTGACTTTAGGACCTTGTTGTAGGAGAAACAACAAGGTTACCTCTTAAGTGTTTACTTGAAAGGAAAGTGTAATGAGATCAGCTGGGCCCGAAGAGGTGGACCATGAGAGATGGCCAGCCCTGTGTCCTGCTGCGGCCCCCAAAGAGAAAGTGGTGATGGAGGGAGCAGGAGGCTGCTGCACTGCTGTGGTGTGTGGGACGTGGGAGATGATGTGGGGATGTGAGACCCGTGTGGCGTGATGGGGACTGCACCCATGAGCCAGTGTCACAGGGGGCTTGAACTGGAGGGTAGCTTCGAAACTCCAGAGGAGATGGACCTGAAGGGCGAAGCTAAGAAAGGATTTATGGAGACTTTAAAATATCAGAGCCCCCAAAGTATTAGTCTAGATACACTGGCCCAGATTTATTGAGGGCAAGACGCTTTTGGTGCCGTGCTGCTGAGAAACGTCCTCTGCACTGGATCCAGTCCCAGAGAGCTGCACCAGAGGCAAGATTACAATTTGTGTAAACAAAAAAGCCCAAAAATTCAGCTAGGCCCTGGTGATTTCCAAGTGTACAAGAGCACAGATTTCAGACCTTGTGAGACCTCCTTATCTGGACTTGTTTGCATCCGCTACAGTTTGGGGTTGTTCCTTTTTCTTTCAGCGATGGATGATTTCGAAATAGGCTCAATGTTTTGAAAGTGTCGCGGGCAGTGAAACCCACGTGGGTGGATTTTGGGTTGTAGCTGAGGCACCGTTGAGTTGCCACGTCGTCTTCAACACCTGTAGGACCCCCCTTCCCCATCACCTGGAGAAGCTGAGGTAAAACATCAGTGCCAAAAGATAAAATACAAGGTAAAACACATCAGTGCCAAAGGACTGCTCCGTCACAAAGCTCCTCCATGTCTCTTTGCACCAGCAAACCCTCAGCTTCTCCCTGGCAGTGGTGCTGCAAATTGCATCACGTGGTGGTGAGGAAAAAGTGTTATTCTTGGCAATCCTTCACAAGTTCTCTTTTTTTTTTTTCTTTTATGTTAAACTGTTCATTTTCAGATTTTGAGTCACAATATTTCTCTGAGCGAAAGGCCGTGAGGTGGGAAAAAATCCAGTTTATTCCTTCAAACTTCTTTGCCATCACTTCAGCATAAAAGAGCCGAATGCTGCTACCTGCCACTGGCATGGATGGAGGAGGAATGGATGGAGGAATGGTCCTGACATCTCCATGCCCTGGTGTCCCCCAAAATGTGGGGGCAAGGGTGAGGTAGTGAGGATCAGAGAGCGAGTCTTTGGGCCAGGAAGCGGTATTAAAGGATGGGTGAAGCCACCAGACAGAGCAAAATGGAAATATTTTTATTAACTTAGCCCCAAGGGGCAGTTAAGCAGAGTTGAATGAGGATTTTACCCTTATTTGCTTGGTTTCTCATGGGTGGTGTAAAACTGAAGGTAAACCTAGGTGTGAATTTTTGAGGCGTCTCAGTTTCTTGAGCCTGCAGAAAGGCCAAGCCTTGGTTTTGCCAAAGTTTCCTGTTCATCCCCCAGCAGGAGGAGGTCACTGGATATGGGAAAAGCAGCTTCTCCACGCTGGTCCTCCACAGTTTGAGCTCCGCCAGCGGTGGCTCAGGGACGGGAGGATTCCCATGAGAGCTGGCAACCACATTATCTTCTAAAAATATCTTCCAATAAAACACAAAACCGCTCCGAAAGAACCCATCTGAGAGAGCAGGATCCAGTTTTGGGCTCTCCGGAAGCCGTGGTGAGCGCTCACATCCCTGCAGAGCAGCCGTGGCTACAAACATCTCGGTGACTACCACCACCCTGGCCATGGCTCTGAGCA